ACTACATGAACACATAGGGATTAAAGAACACATTCCTGAATGAAGAATGGGTACAAGGAGAAATTAAAGAAATAAAAGTATTCCTGGAACTAAATGAAAAGGATAATACAACATAACAAAACCTCTAGAACACTGTGAAAGCTGTCCTTAGACAGATGTTTATAGCTCTAAGTGTCACAGTAAAAAATCAGAAGGTACACAAAGAAATGAGTTAACATCGCAACACAAGACCCTTGAAAAGAAACAACAAATGAAACCCAAACCCAGCAGGCAAGAAGAAATAACAAATATCAGCACAGAAATCAATGAAATAGAAACAAAGAAAACAATACAAAGAATCAAGGAATCCAACAGTTGGTCCTTTGAAAAGATAAACAAGATTGACAGACCCTTAGTCCAGTTAACAAAAAGAAAGAGCACCTCGAAATCAACAAAATCAGAGATGAAAGGGGAAACACCACAACAGAAACCAGAAAGATACAGAACATTATAAGGGAATACTTTAAAAACCTATATGCTACTAAATTTGAAAACCTAAAAGAATTGGACGGACATCTAAAGGTATGGGAACCACAAAAACTAAGCCAAGAAGAGATTAACAGCTTAAACAGACCCACAAAACATAAAGAAATTGAAACAGTAATACTAAACCTCCCAACTAAAAAAAGAATAGGACCAGATGGATTTACAGCAGAATTCTAACAGACATTTAAAGAAGATCTGCATCCAATACTACTTAATTTATTCAAAAATATAGAAACGGAGGGAGAACTTCCAAATTCCTTCTATGAAGCCAGCATCACTCTAATACCAAAGCCAGGTAAAGATACAACCAAAAAAGAAAACTATAGACCCATATCCTTAATGAACATAGATGCAAAAATTCTCAACAAGATATTTGCAAACCACATACAGACGCACATCAAAAAGATCATCCACCATAATCAAGTCTGCTTTATCCCAGAGATGCAGGGATGGTTCAATATACTAAAATCAATAAAAGTCATAAATCACATAAATGGACTCAAAGACAGGAACCACATGGTCATCCAATAGATGCAAAGAAGGCCTTTGACAAAATTCAACATGCGTTTATGTTCAAAGTCCTAGAGGGAATTGGACTGGAGGGAACATACCTCAACATAATTAAAGCCATATACAACAAACTCACAGCCAACATCCTTCTAAATGGAGAAAAACTGGAAGCATTCCCACTGAAATCAGGAACCAGACAAGGCTGTCCACTATCTCCACTTCTCTTTAACATAGTGCTTGAAACTCTTGCAAGAGGAATAAAAAAGAAGACGGAAATTAAATGAGCAATAATTGGAAAAGAAGAGATCAAATTATCCCTTTTTGCAGATGATCTGCTATTACATTGAAAAGACGCCAAAATTTCCACCAGAAAACTCCTAGAAATGATTAACACGTTCAGTAAAATGGCAGGTTAAAAATTAATCTACAAAAGTCTGTAGCCTTTCTATATACCAGTAATAAGCAATCAGAGAAAAGGTACAAGGAAACACTCCCCTCCACAATAGCTGAAAAAATAAAAAATAAAAAATCTTGGAATAAACCTGAGCAAAGACATTACAGAGCTCTACAAGGAAAATTTTAAATCTTTTAAAGAAAGAGATTGAGGAAGACATCAGAAGATGGAAGGACCTCCCATGCTCATGGATTGGAAGAAGTAATATTGTGAAAAATGACCATTCTACCAAAAGCCATTTATAGATTCAATGCAATGCCAATCAAAATCCCCATGACATTTTTCACAGAACTGGAAACAAAAATCCTAAGATTCATATGGAAGCACAAGAGACCCCGGATAGCCAAAGCAACCCTGAGCACTAAGAGCAATGCCCGGGGGATTACTATACCAGATTTCAAGCTGTATTACAGAGCTATAGTCATAAAAACAACATCGTACTGGCACAAAAGTAGACCCATAGACCAATGGAACAAAACTGAAGACACAAATATGAGTAAATGCAATTTTAGCCACCTGACATTTGACAAAGGGGCCAGGAATATTCACTGGAGGAAAGACAGCATGTTCAGCAAATCATGCTGACAAAACTGGATCGCCACTTGTAGAAGAATGAAACTAAACCCCTATCTTTCACCCTGCACAGAAGTCAATTTCAAATGGCTCAAAGACCTCAATGCAAAGCCTGAAACTCTGAAACTATTAGAAGAAAATATTGGGAAAAACCTACAAGATACAGGTGTAGGAAAGGATTTTCTAAACCGGACATCA